TCGGATAAGAGGAAACATCCGCTGCCGAAAAGAAGTCCTCTGCAAAGCTAATCCGTTTAAACCAAAACTAGTAATTGCATTTGGGAGAGTTATCCCTCCGTAATGGCGGGTTCAGTCGTCAGACGGTTGTTTGGAGAGAGTCTTCCTTCCATTGAAGCTCTAATCTGATTTCTATTGAAACTCGCTTTATTGCAGAGCTTATCCAGAGGCGACAAAGCGAGGAGAAGCAGCGCATAAAAGCTGCCTTTGTTCGCGGTTCACCTTAGCTGGACTAAGCCGTTTTCTCTGATCCAGAGATCGTTACCATAGAAATGAGATTTCCGCATGGGATAAAGTTTTGAATTCACGTTTTGTTTTTGAAGTAGTTTCTCATAAAGGGGAATTCCACCAAAATTTCCGAATAATTCAGTTCCTGAGATTAAACAGTCATGCATGTGGTTTATTGTAGAGAAACTTACAGACTCTGGTTTCTTTACAGTGGTGGTGAAAGGAGCCAGGGGTCACCATGTCTACTACATAAGTACAGCCATTTTATTTACCGTCCGAAACCACCAGTGAACCTACACGTGTGTTTTGAGTTTATATATATGATGCTGATGATGGTAAAATAGTGGAAAGTCCGAAAAAATATGTTTACTTTAGGGACTATTTTGCCTTGTATGCTTTGCATGTATGCCACTGCCATGATTGGATTGAAATAACTAAATTAAAATACATTTTAAGCCAAAAACTTATCATGAAAAATCTAGATGCACCGTTACACCAGGCAGCATATATCAAACATTTCCATGTAATAACTTTCTGTGAGTGAGCTTTCAGAGACCTTAAATTATTAGTTCCTATCACCACCACTGTGATCAATTTTGATTTCACATTAAACCACTCTGAATGATTTTGTTTACAACTGTTTCATTAAGTAGATTTAACAGTGGAGTTGTCCTTTAACTTTGCTGGATGAAGTGATAGTTGTTTATATTTAAAACTTGTCAGGGAAATAAAAGATTTTTGTTAGATCATCACAATTGCTGTCTCACTTTGCTTCATCTGGCAAGAACTGATGTAATATATTCCATTAACTGAATTTTGCAAATTCAAAGTAACATTTTTTCAGTGCAGTTCCAACTGTGTCTAGTTGCTCACTGCATTAAGAATTACCTTCAGCCGACTTACAAAGTGGACATATTTTGGAATTAGAGATAACATATCAGTATCAATTGGCATGAGGCTGCTTTCAGCAAAAAATACTTGATTGGATCTGAGAGGGAATAAAATTATCAATCTGATTAAATTCTGTAATAAATCTAGCCTGAAAAAGTAGATACTCGTATCGTGTGATGTAATGTTGTTAGCTGTGTTTTTCTTTCTGTGGGGTAGTGGTGTGTTTGAGTAGTTTAAGGATGATAGCCTTCTTTTAGATGCTGATCTTAATGGGGAATTCCACCAATTTTTCAAAATTTATGCATAACTCAGTCACTGAGATGTAAACATAGTCATTCAGAGTGGTTTGATGCGAAATGGTTACTTGTAGAGTAACTTTCCACCTCAGAGGTCTTTACAGTGGTGGTGACAGTAACCAGGGTTTGCAATATCTTCAACACATGTATAGACCTTTTTTTTACTATCCAAAGTAACCAGTAAACCTAAACATGTCTTCTGATGAATCTAAAAATATAAGTTTTCTTTGGGTACTAATTTGCCTCACAACACCCTGCATGTACCCCTCCATTATTCATTTATTTTTAAGAAATTAAAAACTACATTTCAAACTTATTGTAAAACAATGTCTCAGGCAATGACTTTCTGTGAGGTAGCTTTAAGAGATGTTAAATGCTTTGAATGTCTGGTTCCTATCACCACCACTGTGAATTCAAGACTCTCTAGAACTATATTTTTCACATCAAATCACTTTGAATAACTTTATTCACATCTTACTGAATTAATTCTGCAGAATTTGTAAAAAAAAAAAAAAAGCTCCCCTTTAAGTGAATCAATTCACTGGTAACTAGCTTAGTAGCTTTTAAAGAAGAAGTGGTATATTGTTTAAGGTTTCAACATCAGTATTGATATTGGAAATGAAAAAGTGGTATTGTGCTATTTCGAGTTGTGGTGGAATTGCATTTTATGTTATGTTTACAAAGTGTGTATATGATGTAGATGGATGGTTTGTTAAATGCCCTTCATAAACAGTGAAAATGTCATGTATTTAGTAATTGGACCAGGGCTGGTGTTCATAAACATTCCAGAGTATGAATGAACATCTGAGGTTACATTATTTAGCATATTGATGGTATAGCCACAAAAGCTTAACTGTGATAGCCCTAAAAGCCAGCTTATTCTATACCACATAATGAAAAAGACTCTGAAAGGGTTGCTAGTGATACAGATTGATTGGGCTTTGGAAGCAGGGCCTTGGCATGCAGATGACTGTTCCTGACAAAAAGAAATGTGGTAAATTACAGTAAAGTGTTAGGCAGATTGCTGACCATCATAGAGCTCTACATTAAGTATTCATGCTTCCTGAGTTGTTTGCAAGATCCTTAGCCATTCTAACAGAAGTATAGAAGGATGTTACAAAATGCACACATAGTCTGAAATATTTCTTTATAAAAGAGCTGCTTAAGTTACAAAAAAAATACAGAAATACATACGTCTCCATACAGATGTACTGCATGTGTATGCATCAGAGCAGATCTGCAATACACACAATTTTAGCATTGCTTCTTTATATCAGACATTTCAGTGTCTAATGCACAAAATTGAGGAACATACATGATATATTTTCATACGAAAGCCATGTATATATTTTTCAGTTTTATTTTTCTGCATCATTTGATAGAACAGCTGCACTTTACACCATGTGAACATTTGATGATGGATGGACCAATAGAAATGATCCGACATTCCTTGGAGTAAAAGCTTGTACCATTTTGAAGATACATGCTCTGTTAGGAGAGTGACGATATACACTTCTGTGCAAAAGTTGTAAGTACATAAGCACATTGTTTAAAACCACTTATTTTGGCAATAACAGATTTTTGCCGGCAACAAAACATATATCGTTCAAATTTATTTATTAAAAAGTAACAAGAATTTCTTACTTTGAGAAAGGTAGTTGATACCTTGTGAGCTAGTTAGAAGAATGTTTGGTGCCAGATTTTCCCTGAACGCCCCCAGCCATCACATGGATTTGTTCAATTTCTTTACTAGCACACTTGATTTAACATAATGAGGTATTGTTTAGCCAAACCAGATGTTTGATGATAACTATAATTAATACTGGGCTTCCTCAAGGAGAGGATTAGAAAGGTTAAACGAACACACTGACATACATTATAACACAATCCTTAGCTATTCTATGCTATTTGTATTTATTTTAATATGAATGTTTTTGTAAACAGATATGCCCAGGTAAATAGCTTTTTAGTTGTAATTTTCTCAGGTATCTAAAACTTTTGCACAGTGCTGTATATGTTTAATTTCAATATACAGTCATATGCAAAAGTTGGTCAAATTGCATTGTTGTTAATTGATTTTGTTGATTATTGTTTATTTACCAAATGTAACATAATTCCAAAAAGCATACATGAAATATGGCTTGTGCAAAAGTTGTGGCATTATATATTTAATGGTTTATTTTTTCCAATATGTCAAACTGTATAATTCAATAAAAATGTTGCACTAAAATTTACAGAAGAAATACCATATTTAAGTGTGTTCTCTGTAGAGGATGTGTTAACTTACTTTTTTTTCTAAAATCAACAAAACATGCAATTTGACCAGGGTATTAAAACTTTTGCTTACATCTTCAGTTTAAACAGTGTGTGCAGATAATGTGAGCAGATATGACCCTATGGATAAGCATGAAGTCATCGTGCTGGTGCACAGGAACATTCATGCTTGATCTCAGTGTGGTTCTAAAACTCAGCTTTCATTGTGAAGGTTTGGTATAAAATATGCTTTTTGATATTATGATTGCTGTAAAGAATAGAAATGTATTGAAGATAGTAAGAAAAACCTTTAAGTGTTCAGGTGAATGTATAATTGCTGTGGGAAGAGGCTGCAAAAGACTACAATTAAGATCAGAACAGAAAGCCTAATGAGTTATTTGCAAGTCAATGGGTTCTGCTTACCATCCAACTGCTGCATTTTGCACATATTACTGAGATAACAATGAGCTGAAATTGAGCATTGCCTGATAGAAAGTCTGCAAATGTTTGGCCTGTTGGCAGCTTATAACACTGAACACAAAGCCTGAAGAAGAATGTTTAGATGCTCAGGAAGTGAATGAAAATCTAGATGCACCATTAAGAGGCATTTAAAACATGATTCCAGACTGTATCCTCTGAGAGGTTTATTCTGTCAGTATGAAAAAGCATTGTTTTCACAGTCTACACTGGACTGTAAGGAGCCACACCTTTCACAGGAAGAATTTAGCACATAAAAACTATGTGCTAAAGGAAAAAAAACAACATGAAAGTTCATAATACACATGCAATGGCATATAAGTGTTAGGCAGATTGATAGCAAAGTTGTTTGATTAAAAAATATATATACATCAAACAGCTCTGCATTAAGTATTCATTCTTCCCATATTATTGGTAAGATTTGTAGCTTTTTTGTAGAAAGTAAAGTAAAATAGTGGCTCCTGCAAAATTTCACTTGCTTCAATTCTACAAAAATATGCTAAAAAGTACACTTTTTTAAAAAAATATATACATCTCCATACAAATGTATGTCTATGCATCTGAACACAAGACACATCTGTGATGTACACAGTTTTCGTCATTGCTTCTTCATATCAAAATAAAGATTTCGGAATCTAATGTACAAAATCGACATATTTACATATGCTGCACATTTACACTTTTCACAGTCTTTGGTTGACCACACATGCGTTAGTCTTGTGGTCATTTTGCTCCACAGTCAATGGTTAACTGCTGATAATTCAGTCTGTTAAAGATTGTGAACTTTTCCAAAGAAAAGTGAGTAATTTCTCATCTCTACTGTGGCCAAGGCCTCCACACAGTATCGCTGACCATCAAAGGCTGTTTGGAGTTGGGTGCCATCTTCAATGTGGGCTCATAAATGACAGTTCTTGGAGAAAGCTGGGGTTGACCCATGGCTGAGTCCACATGAGTAAGTGACTGCTGCCCTAGTGTGGAACTGCTTTCATGTGTAAGGTGCATCAGGCTTCCATGGTGAAGCTGGCTTGCAGACACTGGATGACTCTGGTCCTCTATGTTCTGCTGCAAGGTTCCACACATGTTCTCCAGATCTTCCTCTGACTCTTGGTTCTTGCTTGCAATGAAATGGCTCACCCTCAGTAGACAGGTTCTCATACCATCTTGGTAGCTCTGGCTACGCTTGCAAGGAGAGGCCACCTCATCCTCATACTCCACGCGTCCTCTTTTCCCTCTGTTTGTTGGATAAGGGTGAGATCTTGATCGCTGCTCAGCCCTCAGGAAATTGACAACACTCTCCAAGATTTCAGCCTTTTCCACTTTGGGATTCTTCAGTTTCTTGAAAAAGAAGTGGACAAAAGGATGTTAGAAAAACCGACAGGCATGTAAGTATTCACGTAAGGTTGGAATGAACAAAATTCCTGCTCTTGGCATGAAGTTCAGGACTTACCTCATTACATGTGCTCTCCAGTAGCAGAAGCCTCAAAGTTTCCAAACTGTGGTTAATTCGGTCTCTCCGTCGTTTCTCCATGAGAGGTTTGGGAACCTGGAGAATAGTACATTATACAAAATCATTACAAAGACCAACATGGGTTTACTGACCATAGCATGCAGTTCACCAATGTTTACAATTCTTGGAGAGACAGTCTCTCAAACAAACATCTGAGATGTTCTTGAGAATCCATATCTTTGGCTTTCTTACCCGTCTCATCGCATCTTTTTGCTCCGCTATGCCAGCAGACATCTTGCTCATACCTGAAGACAAACAGCAAACCTTACAACATCAGATGTATTTGCAGCACTTTGGAACTTTTCAGCTCCTATTAAACTGTGAGGCCACACCCAAGCCCCGCCCACGAGCTTCTCAAACCAATTGAGCACATCTATCACTTAAAGTCACGCCCTTTCATTAATATCCCTCCACAGGCTTAAAGAACGGGCTTTGATCGCTAAAGATGATTGGAACTGAGTTTAGTGAGACAATGACCCTTTTGGCGCCCTGCTGTGATGTTTAAGAGGAGACTATTAAGAGGCCGTTTAGCTGTTAGTGTGTGAAGTGGAAGGTCAGCGTGACGATTAAAATAAGTAGCGCTCATAAAATCAGTTTGAAGAGCCATTACCAGTTTGAGCTTTAAGAAATATGACCTGAAATATAAATCTTGTAGTTCCCACTTGATCTGAGGCTTTAGATCAGTAAAACATTTCAGACACTCACGTTTAATTTTTCCACTATGATGCGTTTTAATGCTTTATAGATGTTTGTGGCTGAATTCATAATGTCATATCTACTCGTCTTTCACTTTGATATCACGGTGGGCTTCACGGACCGCAGCCTTTCAGGCCTCCTCACTGGAAAGAAACAGGGTCCGATCTCATCTCCTCTCTCTTTATTAGTCGTGTGAATATTTCAGCTGCTTGATCGGATCACAGGTTTTAAAGGTCTCTGCTGATTCTTTTCAGCACAGGTGGAAGCAGAGGGTGCTTTGTGTTTGGTATTGGCTTGTCCACTGGAGCGTGCTTACGAGGCTGATGAATAGTGTTTGAAGCCCTCCAACCCTTTGAAAGCTGGACCGCCCGTGTGAGCTGACTGCGTGTGTCCACTTATATGAAGCGGTCAGGCAGAAGACAAAACCGCAAAAGTAATGTTTATTTCTATAGATTTGATGCTACGATAGTTTCAATAGATCAGCTGTTTCTTTTTGCTTTATTTTTCTTCGAGGGACGTTTTCCCCATATTTCCCCAATGATGAAAAATTACAGGGGGACATATTCCACCCACATCATGAAATTATGCAGGATAATTTGGGATGGCTGTGAGCTTATATTATCAATAAAACGTTTTTAAGAATGACTTTTCCACAAAATCTCCCACATCAATTAAGTCACTTTGTCATTGCAAGAGGTATTTATTATGGTCAATTGTTGATTTATACCATAATCCTCTTTCTGCTCAGTTATCATCATATTCATCATCTTTAAGGTATTTTGACCTAATATTTATAGCAGCATGCAAATCAGACTACGAATTTTAGTGACATGCAATGGGAAACTGCTATTGTACACTCACAGAAAACAAAGCACTAAACTGTCACTGGGGCAGTACCCCTCTTGTCACTGGGGTGGTACATCTGCAGTATCTTAGTTCTGGAATATAATTGTACCAGAATTAATTAAAGTGATATTTTTTTAAGGTTGTATTGACTCCAATTATTCTGTCTTGTCTCCACCTCTCCACCCTTTTATTTTATTGTTCTGTTTTAAAACATTACTTTATGAAAAGGTATTTCCCCTGGAGAAAACACATTTAAGGTACACAACTGGACCTGGACAACTGGAATGAATGAGAAAAAGTACCTTATTTCTTACAGTGTTATAAAATGAAAATTGATGTTCCTATTCCTGCAAAAATATTGTTTGCTTTTTGTACTAATATAGTAACTCTAACTGTAGGTCTGAATGTAAGAACTTTGTTAACCGCCCCCCCACACACACACTTGTCAGTCCAAATGTGCACCCCTGCTTTACCCTGAGCTATGAACATCACAACATGGATCACACTGAGTTTTTTTTTATTTGAATCATTTATGCTAAATTAGGTGCAAATAATGCATAAAGCCTGGAAGCATATTAGAGCCAGAATACTGATACTGTAGAAAAACCGAAAGAATTCTGTTGCAAATATTTGGAGTTTTTTGAAGAACTAAACAGACCCAAAGTAATCTGTGTCACTGGATAAGTAAATAACACTACAGGACTTCCAGATGCATGTCTTACTCATCGAAGAATGCAAATAACTTACATACAAACTTCTAATTTAAAATGTGGCTATTTCAACCAATCTGCATTAACAGCGCCCATCAGTTGCGATAAGTGGGTTACGCCCATATTCTACAATGAGCTTCAATTTCATTTAAATAAACCTCTCGAGGAGTCCTTTAAAGCAGCATGCTCAGACATATAGACCAACACCAATTTCTCCCATCAGTTTAATATGTATGCCACTAAATGTTTAGTAGTTTGTATGGTTTAGCAGTATAGTTTGACTTTCTCCATAAGGCTGGGAGCTGGCTGTGAACGGCAGTTGGTGATCTGAATATGATTTATCTGTTGGCTGTTGATGTTGGTGTACGATGAAGCATCGAAATTCCTTTAGTTAAGTGTAAACCTTTGACCTTCTGACCTGGCCTCGTTTTAGGTGCAGTTTGTGCTGCACAACTGGCCCCCAAAAGTTCACCAGGAGTCCATCTTCCCACCACATGACTCTGAGTGCATCAGCACGTAATAAAATCGTTAGCTACACGGGTCTGGGTGACCGATCTGACACTTATGGTTGGTTCCCACGACAGAGATGTAAGGGATGCTTCAGGATTTCTTCGACATTTTTATACCTCAAACATCAACCGTTACACCGCTTTCGCTTAGCTACCGTTAATGAAGCTCTGCTGTTAAGTCCTGTTACTAGAGGTTATTGTAATTATTTTGAAGCAGAGGTTTGTGGGTCAGACTGAAGTCCTGTTTCGATGTGTATCAGCGTGTGTCGGTATGTTGACTCTTGTCATCAGGCCGTTCTCACTTAAAGCAATCCACTCACACGCCAGCACACTTAACAGAATGGGGCTAAGCGTTTGGGCATCACACCTCTGAGCATACACAGCCCACCCCACCCCCAGCCCCCCTTACCACGAGGAACGGCTCTTTTCCTTGTGGCCACGCGCGGAATTTGGGACCAAGGATTTCAAGTTACACCCTCACGTTATGATATAGACACGAACATTGTGAGTAATTGCACTGTTTATAATAAAAATAGCCCATTTTAACGGACATGAGATTGACACCCTGTTGAAACATTTGACCATGGAAAAAAATTAAAATATTTGCTTTGATGCAAAAAGAATATGAAAACTAACTCAGTATGAACGTGAAATTAGACGCAGAATGTGCGTAGATTTCCTAAAAGTTATAATCGTGAATTGTCGGGGCAATTCATTCATTCATTCATTCATTCATCTGCAACATGTTCAAGTACATTAAATAGATACTCAAAGTCCACTAGTTTCCCCAAACATGTTTCCTAAAGCAAGATTAAGCATACAGACTAATAATCTCAGATTTAAAACGTCATTAACAGTACAAAGTACAAAATATGAACAATCAGCTCCTAAATGAATAAAACGGATTTCTCGGTAAACCAAAATTCAGCCCTCTTCCATGTTGTAAGGTTTTCCCTGACATGCTCCGCCTCCTGCCTTCTGATTCGCTAGTAGTTCATTCTGTCAATCAGTTCGTGTTCTCAGTATGAATTAGCCAATCATTTCGAAAAAGGCGTGACTTTTTCCCCGACAACGCTTCGCTTCTCCACCAATCAAGAGCGTCACCTCTGCGCCATATAAGTTCTAGCCTGGTCTTCTTCACTCATACTGCTTCACTAAGATCTTCCAGGACGAGCTTGTTTATATGAAGACACTTTCCTGACTTTATACGGTTCTAGAACTTCCACTATGGCCAAGACGGAGACCCTGAGACGAGTAAGTTACATTTATTCTTTTTTAATCAAAACTGTTTTCTCTTAAACTGCTCGTTATTTGCAGGATTTGCAATGGAATTTGTGGATATGTTGAAACCAAATCTAGTATTTAAATAACGTTTTATTCACCCCTTGTTAGACGTTGAAGCCAGTAATAGAGAAGAAAAGAAGAGACCGAATCAACCAAAATCTGGAGGCACTGAGGGCCCTGCTGTTCAGGAGCACTGCAGACACAGTAAGAACACAACTCTGATTTTCGCTAGCTGTTGTAGTCCAATTGACTCTACCTGATAGTCACTATATAGATAGATATAACTCTCCCCTCTTTCTCCACAGCGTTTACAAAACCCTAAACTGGAGAAAGCAGAAATTTTGGACCTGGCTGTTCAGTATATACGAAAGAACACATGCAGGAGGGCAGATAACAAAGGTATGTTATATTATATTGTATGATATCATACAATATTATAGTATTTTACACTGGCAGTTAAAAAGAATTACTCTACACTGATGTTTAGCATACGTTTTGATGTGTTTATCCTGCGCAAGAAATGATGGCTGTTCCCAAAATACAATGGAAGATGCCACTTTCAGTTTCAGCCCATTGAGATCTTGTGGGGCTACATTTGTAAATGTGTGAAGAAGAAAAAAACAGCCACTATGGATATTGTGTGGATAGCAGTGAACAACATATGTGAAGCAGTCCCTCTAAATGATCCTGGAAAAACTACACTCTTAAAAAGATGGTTCTTCAAGTGTTCTTTAGTAAAGACAATGGTTCTATATACAATCAAAGAATCATTTGCATGGTGAAATTCTTCTTCAGGTTAACAAAGAATGTGTTGTATATGGTTCTATATAGCACAAAAAAGGGTTCTGTTGCTGTTACGATGTCAAGCTTGTAACAATAGAAGAACCCTTTTTGGTGCTATATAAAACCATTTCCAAAAAGGTTCTTCATAGAACCATATACAACACATTCTCCATCAATCTTAAGAACATTTCACTATGCAAAGAACCATTTAAGTGTGAAACGGTTCCATACAGAAATCATTGTTGTAAATAGAACTATTCCTTTAACTAAAGAACCCTTGAAATACCATTTTTAACAGTGAAGTGATGAAGATACTTTAGACTGCTTTGTCACTTTCCTAAAGTTCCTAAAAATGAGTTAAAGGAAGTGCTTTCACACACATTCCTCACTGCTGTTTACAGACCATCTGTAGGAGTTGGATTTTTCTGCTCCACAAATTTTCCAATGCATTCCCACAAGACCTTAATAGGTTTCAAATTGTTGCTGAATTTTATTTTATGAACTGTGTAGCATCTTCCATTGCCTTGCTGGAATATCTGCCATTTGTTCTGGTTTCCTTTCTGTAAGTGAACAGACTGGATAAACACCAGTTGCTAAACATTAGCATTTGGCACATGTTAATGTGAACAGTATTCCAGTGTATATTTCACATTATGCTGGCTTTGTTATGCTTCCTTCATGAATAACTGTGAATAACTAAACATCCTCTTCTTCTGCAGTGTCTGCTACTCCTGCAAACCAGGAAACAACACAAACTCAACTCAAGGCACCAAAACCCATCTATGGTGCTCATCCCCATCAGTGTGTCTCTGAGTTCACCTCCTACATGAGCCAGATGAACCCGTCTGAGAGGGAAACCGTTCTTCAGAGTCTGGAATACTATCTGGACAGTCAACATGAACATTTTGGCAGAGCTGGGAATGAAACAGACACTAAGTCAGCCAGCGCTCTGACAAAGCTCAGCTCATCAACATCATCCCATCACTATAACCAAGATCAAGCCCTTCCTGAATCGTTATTACTATGTTATAAATCTGCCAGTCAAAGCAGCATTGTCTTCACTCCATCAGCTTCACCAAACCACCTCTCCCCTCCACCCTCTCCTCTCTTCTCCTCCTCCACTTCCTCTTTCAGCACCTCTCCTCCATATTCATCTGTTCCCTGCCATCTGCCTTTTGCTCCTTCTGGGTCTCCTCCCTTCACCAAACCTCCCATCACTTTTTTTGCAACGCCATTGTCTGTCTCTAGTTCTGTAAGCGTGCCTCAGTTATTGCAGCCTCACGTCTCCAGAGATCTCCCCACACCACCCTCTCCCAGTCTGGATATGAGAGGAGATTTGCTGCCTGTCTCAGCCCAGTCAACATGGAGGCCATGGAGCTGAAATGGCATTAAGCACCTACCTTTGGTGTCTTACTTAACACACGACCAAGCTAACTTGAACCATTCCTCTTAAATGCCTGGGACCTGCTGGTGGGTCCAGACTTCCAGTGCTCGCTCCTACAGCTCAGTCAGTTTGCATGGTTTTCTGTGCAATTACTGAATGATAAGCTTTAGTTAAAAGTTAAAAATGTGGTGCTCTCTCTCACCTTAATTGAAAAAAAAGGAGGAAGACTTTTAATTGTACTGACTGCAAATGTCTTGAACATTTTGGTTTTGCATTTCCTTGCTTTATTTATTAAAAAGTGGTTCTATATGTATCTGTACTACCTATTTTTCAGTTAGTCTACATAGAAAGCTTTTATATTTTAGTGTATATATTTGTAAATACTTAATTATTTTAAATATGGTGAAAAAAATCCAGACACTATTTTCTACCTTCTATTTCCACTTCTCACTGTGTATTTCATGGAAATGATTAAAAAACTTCTGAAATATAAAGAGCTTTGTCTTTTTTTAATTCCTAGATCAACATTTTCTTGTTTATTCCGATGGTCAGATAATTTTTTAAATAAAAGTAGATAAAGTTAGATAAAGTTTTTTACTGTTTGTTAAGAAAACACATAGAAATACTTTACCACTAAATCGTTAAGAATCATTTGTTATGTTAAATTTGTTTCTGTTTTATTCCATAATAAAATAATCTATACTGCTGGGTAATTTATCACAGCATAACATAATTAAAGTTTAGAAATTAAGTGAAAAGTGAAAAACACTCATTCATAGTTTCTGTGATGCGAAATACCCTGAAAACTGAAAAAAGAACACATTGACACATTGAATTTCAAAGTAAATAGATAACAAACTAACAAGATTTTTTTTTCATGATTACAAGAAAAACAAACAAGTAAAAAATTATAAGAATGGATTCAAATAAAAGAAAATAATTTTAAAAGGTTATCACATTCACGCAAACACACATAACGTCACATGCAAAAGGTTAAAGAAAATCATCAGGCTAAAACTAAAAGGACAGAGAGAAGAAGTGGTGGGGGGGCGAGGGTGAGAGTACTTGCAGGTTTCTTCCCTATCTAACACAGATTTGGTCAAAGCGTTTATAGCTTTATGCAAACTACATCTAAAATAGACAATCTACATATACACAGATTTAGATGGGCTTAGAAACAAAACTAAAGTGTCATTGGTGAGATTTAGTCAACAAATAATAGTGTCCCTCTTAATGACATCAGCAAGAGTCACTCTCAGTCAGGCTGAAGGCCTTGAAGGTTCCCAAATGGTCACCTTTAAACTAGTTATACATACATTTACCCAGTTAAAACATAATAGTTAACTATTTCTTATAATAATAATCCTTAGTTACTAAGGTAAATCTAGTTAAGATCAATTAATTTTGATGAGTCCTACAGACTAAAGAGTCTTGTGCTCAAAAAGCTTTGCAGCATTCCTAACAGTTTTGTTGGTTTCTGTTAATTAACTCTTCATTTTCTAATTTTTAAGTATAATTCTCTTTGCAAAATGTTATTTTGGGGTCATAGCCTACTCTCATGTTAAATGTGAATTTGGAAAGCATTGTGCATGTAAATCAAACTTAACCAAATTAGCCTTCACCCTCCTAGCATTGATAGCATCGTGTGATTGGGGGAGTCCTAACTAGCGGGTGGAATTGGAGACGACTAAATTGGGGAGAAAACCGGGTAAAAATTAAAACTTAACCAAATGTGTGACATCTGATTTTGTTTCATGACTCCAGAGTGGCTCCAGTACATTTCCTGAAATAGCTGATAGATGTGCATAACACATTCTTATGTCATGCCAGAGTGTCCCTCTCAAGGAACATAACACAGGCCTCACAGAGAGGCCAAAAGTCAAAGAACTGTGCTTCTAGGTGTAAGAAATATATTCTTAAGCAAAATATTCTATATTGAAAAGATTTGATTGCAGGAGTCTAGACCCCTTCAATACACTGTAGATTGAAGTACTGTAAGCAAGACACCATAAGGCATTTTGAGATGTTTTATTTAATAATTAAAAGTTTTTTTAGAACTTAGTTCTTTTAAACGGTGGTATAAATAAATTCACATCTGATCACAGGCACAGTATTAACTCTCTGCCATGCATCCCAGGCATACCATACATTACATACAGTACATACATACATTAAATCAAGCCAACAAGCAACAAATTAAGGCTGAATAATGCAGCTATAAAAACCAGACATTTTGAGTGTCAGAAAATTCCTGGAATTAACACATTCATGACACAATTCATGTGCACTTGTGCCAACCAGCCTCAACATGAGGTTAGTTGGCATAAGATTAAAGGGTACAGTTTATGGAATAAAGCTACAAATAGAAATGATCAGAGCTTTTAATTTAAAACATACCACAAATATAATTATTCAGTGGCAACCCAATAATGTTTGTGAATCAATTAAACACCAGGAATGTTTCATTAATTTAATTATTGGCTTGTACCAAGGAACAATACAAATAATAATAAGAAAAACAAACCTCAGCTTACATTAAACCTCACAATTCATCATAAACATCTTTTTTCTATTTATTGAACTAAAAATTGTCATATGTCAAATTGTCAATCATATTTATGAACATAAATAGTTTGTGTTAAAAGTTGTTTTTATGATAGACTCTCACTTATCATCAAATGCAATAAAGCTTCATTATAAATGTAAAGTAAATTCGATATAAACAGTGATATAGTGCAGTACTGTATTCTATATACTATAAAATATGTTTCTGAGAATGGCCCTACACTGGCAGGCTGACACATGTGGCAACCAAGCCCAAAATCAATGAGCCAACCAAACCTAGCCATATCAAGACTCAATTCTGTATTTACTTCATGTTAGCATTACTTATTGTTGGATTTCAAATCATATATTAAAATGTATCATTGCCATTTCTACTAAAATTAATGTTAATGTACAGTATCTCTCTTTAAATCATTTCTATTACATATTTACACAGGAAGTCATTTGTTTTGTTTAAACACTTAAAAATCTAAAGTTTTTTTCCACTTTAATAGATTGTAACGTTTAAAGTTTTTCGCAAAACGAGTGCTGGTCAGCATTTATGTTACCTGTTTGGGACAGTATCCTACTGATCTAGAAGTGAATACTGTGCCAACTAGCTCCATTCTCCCATACTGCCTTATCCAATCTAGAATTTTAACAAGAACTTCAATTAATGAATGCTTGAACTAGTGCTTTGTTTGTCTTTGCTGCCATCTTCTGGTCAGGTACATATAATCATGCTCACTCAAAGTTGAATTTTATTCACAATTTGTTTCAGTAAAGAGGGATTAAACTGATTTTATTAATATTTTTGCATAAAAAGTTATAAACAAAGCCATTCAGAGTGTTTTGATGTGGTTTATATTCACCAGTGTGGTAAATATAAAGTGAGCAATAACATTGCAAAAAAACACATACACATAAATTTGTTGTAAATTACAAGCTACAGTTTAAGCATGATCTACACAGACCAACATATCAGTATACTTACCCCACCTCAAAATGGTTAAAATAAAGCTATACTCCACATGTGTATCTATATATTAATTACTAAAATCAAAAGTGCCAGTTCATTGCCAGTCATTATAGGGTGGCATGGTGGCTGTCGAGTTGTTTACATTATTGAAAATATTTTCCATTAAAGCTGCACTATGTAAGATTTGGGGATTTAGAGGCCTCTCTACTGGAAATGTGTAATTGCAGGATGGAAATGTGTGGAGGAACATTTTGTAACGTGGGTTGTGCACCAACAATCGAATGAATGTGATAATTGCAACGTGTTGAAAGAGTACTGGAAGAGCACTCAAAACTTGGTGAAGGACTATCATTTTAGAGTTTCCCCCTCTCCCAAAACACCTGATACAGCTGAACTAATAAATTAGCCCTTCCTGAGGCCAGCTGGGTGTGGAGCAGGAAAAACACCAAAACATGCAGGGCAGTGGTACTTCAGGACCAGGATTAAGAACCACTGTACTGTTGTCATCATATCTTCATCAGTGTAATGTTAATTTTGTATTTGTATTTGACGTTAATATATAAAGATGTATGACTTGGTCTGAGAAACTCTATTCAAATCTGACCTGGCTGCTCTGACTTCACAATGAATCTTTCAGGCTTTACAGAAAGTGACTCACAACAGCGCAGATATTATATTTTAGCATGTTTTTTTTCCTCTACCTCAGAAATGCTACTTTCAGTTTTAACAGAAAAGATTTACATAGTGAACCATTTTCACAAAGTACAATGAGTGACATAAATAGCCATGTTTTAGTTTTTGTGCTTTGTTGCAATGAATAGTGAGAATATGAAACAGATCGAAGCATTAACTTGAAACAGAGCTAAAATGCTGTAGTAGCCCTGTTTATCACTGTAGCTGCCTCACATGAAGCAGTCTCTGTGTCTGTACAAAATGACAGCAGTTTTTGTAATATTCATGTTTTAAAATGAAAGTAGAACTTGTATATGTAATGTTAGTTTCTTCGTTTACATTTAGCTACCTATGTTAGCTGTTGCTAACAGTAGCTAACACTATCTTCCCAAACAAGGTAGCTTTTATTATGCTGGCACCAGCTGGCTAGCATGAAGCAGTCTCTGTGTACAGCCAGAGACATTATAAACGAGGAGACCCATCTTTGTTTAAAATATGAATGGGAAAACTTTGTTTGTCTTTGTCAGATTTTACCATTGTTTTCAGATCTGTTTTTTAAACAGTAATTTAGCCTTCAATTTGGAGTATTTTTGACTCTCCCCGTTCAAAGAGATAGGAGCCTGGTTTTGTATGGCTGGAAATAACTGCCTGGCAGCTGCTCAGTGAACAGACTTTCCTACAAGGACTTTGGTACAGCATGCCAGCGATTTCTGTAACAGTATAAAAGGAACCAAAACTTTTATACATAACATGTATTTGGTAGACTTCATTTAAGCTCTCTTGTAGCTAATGAAAGACTAGC